CTTTCGGTACTAGGATCGGTCGGATCGTGAAGACGTATGACTACATCAACTGCGTTGTCATAACGCTTCCGCTTAGACAACACTCTTCCCTCTCGTTGCTATGCATCACCATGATCTTGCGTGTGCGTAATTTTTTTTTGAAATTACTGTGTTCCCCAACATGAGATGCCCTAGCTGCGCGGTCCATGTGCCCGACTAAGATCATGGCTCAGGTCCCTTTGTCGATTGTGTTGGTCCCGAGGACGAGAGTCTTGGAGAATTTGGAAAACGCGAGAACTGGAGCCTTAACGAGCGCCTTCTTCAAGGCATGGAAGGAGGCCTCAGATTCAGAGGTGCACATGTATATAGTGTGTTCTTTGAGGAGATCCATCAACGGCCTACCAGGGGCGGATCCAGCATGGGGCAAGGGTGTACAGATGTACACCCAAAATTAATCTCTTCCAAGTTCCAACTCCGAAATTTCATTCCTTAATTTGATTCATTGTGAAATCCCAACTGAATGTGTAGTTTCTATTCGATTCAGCGAGAAATAGCTATAGATGTCACTGAAAGGAGTTAGGATATGTTGATCTATTAGCAGAAAAATAACAAATGAATGGTATTTGAATTGTAGGCAGTAGAGCATTCAAACCTCAAGAGGAAGAAAATTGATTTGAAAACATTATGGAGTAGAGCTGGGAAGAAATCTATGGCATGTATTCAAGTTGAGCAGCAAGTGCAGGTGTAGAACAGTTCCTCATCCAATCAACTTCATCGCACTATGATCTCCCCTTCAGTTCAGAATCCGCAACGGCTACAAATTTTTAGTGCTATGAACACAAGTCCAATTGTAGAACCTGACATTGAGCCGTGAACCAATTGGCTCCTCTGTTAGGGTGAATTTTTTTTTGAACACCCATTGTTAAATTCCTGGATCCGCCACTGCAGCCTATTAATGATGCCATATCCCAGTTTCAGTAGTAACCGGCAACTGATTATAAAAGGAAATTATTTTGTGCAGCCTTTTATAAAAGGAAAATGTTTTGTATGGCTTTTTACCATCTTTTCCTTGTATTTTTTTTATAAAGAACAACTGCATGCCCTGCAAAAAATGAAAGAATGTATCCCATATGCATGTGTGCCATTGACAAGTCTTTTGAGAAAAAGAAATTGGTAGTACAAATATTATACGAGTGCCTGTGTCGGAATGGCGACACACCCGACGACGGTGCATGTGTTGTACTCGCAACCACAACCACCACGGTGTGATACTCCCCCCTAAAAGAAATATAAAGAGCGTTTAAATCACTTTATGTTTCTTTACAAAGAGAGTATATATTCCAAATAAAAAAAGAAGCTTTTTTAGAATCTAAAAAAAAGAACTATACGAATACCTTTTTTTAGGGGACTATACGAATACCTTCTCGAAAAAAAACTACGTATAAGAAGTATTCAGCCCATCACAAAACAGTTGGGGCTTCTCCCGATTAGGCCCATCTACCAGGCCCGTAAAAGCAATGCAGTCCTCTCTTCTCTCTGCTCGTTAGAACGAACGCCCGGGACCTCCTATATGCCGCTTATTGCGGCAAGAAGTCGCCGTTTCGCACAGGATGCGGTTCACGTGGGCCGGCCCATTCGCTGTCCTTTGTTGAATGAAAGAGATGCCAAAAAAGGAGCCAGTTCTGGAATCGAAAAAAGAACCTTTTTTAGAATCTAAAGAAAGAACTATACGAATACCTTTTTTT